TATTCTGTTAACACTGGAAACTTGTCTTCATAAAACGTGAAAGGCCTACAAACAATTTTTAGGGAAAGTAAAACTTGAAAGAACGCATCTTGAAACAGTACTAAATAGGAAATTTCGAATATACTGCAGTGAACAATCTACGTAGGTGAAATTTATATGATAGTTGTGGCAGGATCAGACCCACTCCTGGGTCCCAGACTCCTGCTCTGTCCACAACCTCGCAGTCTCACTTGCCTTTTCCAGCATTCTGGAAACAGGTGCTGGGGCAGACGCCCTGGTCAGCCTGGGCTGAGTAACCAGTCCTCCTCAGTCACTGGCTGGGATCTCAGGCCGCTTGGGGAAGGGAGCCCAAACACTCCTTACTCTATTCTGTCAGTTTTCCCCTTCTCTCTTTCCTTATCAGCTCACTTCCCTCTGGCTCCTCCAAACTCCTCTTCCACTCTTCTCCTGCCCTCCCCCACAGGGAAGGTTTTTAAAGCGGTCCCCTTGGCAGTCTGAAGTCAGCTCACCTGGACCTTAACTGATTTATAGCAGCCTGTTTCAGCTGCCCCTGATTAACCAGGGCTGTTGCAGTGTTTCAGAGCTGCCTTTCTCCCCTTCCAACAAGCCCTTTAACCTGCCCTGTCACATAGTAAAAGAACTGTACACATATATGGCTAAGATCATCCAACAGTTTCAAACCACTTCCCAATAATATTAGCTTCATTTTGCAAATGGGGGAACTGAGGCACACTCTAGTTGCTCTAACCAGTATGTCCCTATGGCTCTCCATCGCTAATATCTATAATTAGGAAAATTGAAGTAATCCTTTCCACATCTCAGAGAAAAATGAAGTTGCTTTGCCCACTTAAATTTCTGCTGAAAAGTACTCTACTTAGGATGCCATGCCACCAAGCATTACAGCAGCACCAAGGCTTAGAGTTGCTGAGGGAGCAAGTAACCTTCCTCAAGAGATGAAAACAAGAAAAGATAGCAAGAATTGTGTGTGTCTAGACACAAAATTACTAAAATTGACAGTCATGACCTTTTCCTAGCCAGCTAAATTGGTGGTGGTGGCTTACAATTGTTTGTGCATGTTTGGAGCTTTATTACAATTCAATAACTTGACAAATTATCCAATCTTCAATCTTCAAAATGATGTCGGTTTCTGTCAATTTGTGGGTGAATGGGAAGTCTAGGGGAAACGAAGCTATACTCAGTTATTTGTTTTAGATTCATTTTATTATTATTTTTACTAAGGAATTTTTTTTAATAATTCTGTTCCCAAAGTACTCTTACTTCAGTCTTTTAGCATTAACATACAATTTTTTAGCTGACTGACTTTACAGTAGTCACATATGATATGTAGGTCAAATCTGAATAAAACCCCCAAATGTATTAGTTATCTCAATTTAAATTTATTTTAACTTTATTGATAATTTTTCACCAGGGAGACTTGAATCTTATGGTTAAAATACACTTGAAACCAATTAGGAACCATATGACTGTATTCTAGCATAAAGAACAAAAGCACTTGACAGTTCTAAGATTAAGTCACAATCATTTGGTTTAAAGCAGAAATATTTTTACCTTATTTTTTAAAGGTTGTGTATATCTTTTTTATGAGTAATGTGGGAAATACACAATGCTTCTTAAAACACAGCGATACCCAGGGACCCTCACTCTCCCTTTAATGATCCACTGCTCTCATTCAGCTGTCTTTCTTTTTTCAAATCTTTACATATGTGACAGCTCTCAAAAGTAGACCATAGACCATCTGGCATTTTCAGAGGTGTAACTTGTGCAAATTCAGCTCTACTGGGAACACAATGCTATCTTCTGCCTGCGTTATAAAAGATACAATAGAATGTAGAACTTATGAGTTGTTTTGAATTATTCATTTTTTGCCTGTATATTCAAGAAATTTTACAAACTCTGCATTTTGTACTACATAATCACATGCGTTAAAGGTACAAAGAAACTTTTTGACACCTCTTTTCTACAGAAAGATGGCATTTTGTTTGATATGTGAACATTCAGCGTCTGTTATATCATTCTAAACAGGCCGTGTGCCGCTACAAAAGACCTCATTTTACACTCTATGTATGAGCAAAAATTTTATTCTTGATATTCAGTAACTAATGTAATGCACATCAAAATTTCAAATACCATGTGCATGGACATTCTGCATCTTAAAATGAGAATGGCACTGGTTACCTAATATATGTTGAAGACATTTAAAAAAATCTTTACTTGAACAACACAGAAATATTATAATTTTAAATATCTACAATGAATAGTTTCAAATGTCCTAACAAATACCATGCTTTTTAGGTTAAAATGTTTTCAATGTGTAGCAAAACCAGTAAATTTAGATCAATATTTTATACAGTGCTAACACTAGTGAATTTTCAATAAGAATGATAAATATTGGATTAATGATTCAATAGAGTAAATCTCTTGATAGAAAACTAGCAGATAATATAGCTAGTAATAACTATACATGAATCTGCTGCCTGTGAAAAAGCAATAAAAAGACAATATATTGCTATAACATATAATCTATTAGTGTGTTTCATGGCTGCCCCGTCTCCGTACAAAGTGGGCCTTAGCACAGTAACTGATGTTATTTAAACAACTTTATATAATAAATTTAATTGTAAGATGAATAAATGGTAACAAAATATTCCAATATTTTAACATTTACTAAGCTTTTGATAATTTTGAAGTGATTATGTGCACTTTATTCATATTTTGAATGCAAGCCAGTTGTCAAGTTCCCAAAAAAGGCTTACTTGCATATACATATAGAGTACATATCCCTATACAAATTTCACTGTA